AAAAAAAAAAAAAATCAGGGTGCTGTTACCACAGAAGAGAAACAGAAACTGGAGGACAAGCAGCAATCTGCCATACTCTGGATCTGAAAGGAGTGGCTGCATTGTGACCCTGCACAAGCTCCACCATCTCTCTGGGCTTCCACATTAGGAAACTTGGGAGCAATCAAGAATTGGTCTGACATTAGGATTTCTACCCGAGGGCTCCCCTCAAGAGCAGCCTTAGGGACTCGACTCCTCCTGCCTTTTTGCAGGCCTCCATCTCTTACCTTTTTCTTCCCCCTATGCTAGTGAGCTAGAGCTGCCAGCAACCTTCTTAATTCCTTTCGTGGCAAAGTAGAAAGATTCCAGAATGAACTAGGATCTTACTAAAGACCTAGACTCAGCGGCAGCTGGCATTGATTGAGCACCCACTGTGTTCCAGGCACTGTGCTGAGTGCATTGTAAGGACCATCTGCTCACAGCAGCCCTGTGAGGGAGGTGCTGTTATCCCTTTCTTACAGATGAGGAAACTGAAGCTCAGAGAGGGAACTGCGTCCCCCAAGGTCACCCAGCTACAAGTGGCAGAGCCTTTGTTTCCAACACCAAAAACCACTTCCCACTGACCCTGTTCCAGGGTTGTATTCTCTCTGGGCCTCCATTCCATCTTATAGGAAATTGGAAGGGTTAGGGTGGCTCCAGTGAGCTCTCCCCATCCTGGAACTCCCACCAGTATGGCGTAGCTGAGGCTGACCCTTCCCCTGCCCCCCAACCTGAGGGCATCTGACAGTGCCCACAGCCATGCCCTCCTCCGTCCAGGGGCTGACAGGTGGGAGGGGCAGCCCCGCCCCGGGGAGTGGACTTACCCGGCCTCTCTGCTCAGAGATCATCAATTATGAGTTTGACACCAAGGACCTGGTGTGCCTGGGCCTGAGCAGCATTGTTGGCGTCTGGTACCTGCTGAGGAAGGTGAGTAGCCAGAGCCTGGGGTGACAGGGCAGGGTGGGAGTACAGAGAGCTGGTCTCACTCCCACCTTTCCCCAGCACTGGATTGCCAACAACCTTTTTGGCCTGGCCTTCTCCCTTAATGGGGTGGAGCTCCTGCACCTGAACAATGTCAGCACTGGCTGCATCCTGCTGGGTGGACTCTTCATCTACGATGTCTTCTGGGTGAGTCAGGCAGGACACCAAGGATGTCCAACTTTGGGGCCCCCTCACTTTCCTACTTTCCTGCCTCTCTGGCCCAAGTGGCAGTCATCTGCTGAACAGCAACTGCCTTGGACTGGAAGTCAGGACCCCAAAACAGGTTCTCTCTGGGATCATCTGTGAAGTAGCCAGAGAGACCAGATGCCACCTCTTACTGTGTCCACGCTGCCTGGTGTCTTCTTCCTCACAGTGACCTTGACAGTGTTATTACTTAATCCCACGTCTCCTCAGCAAGAGAGTCGAGACTCAGAGAAGTTCAGGCAGGGGTGGCAGAACGCTGTTGAATGGGCCCAACCAGGACACTCACCTGGGAGGACAGAGGCCAGCTGTGCTAAGGGACCTATCACACTCACTCTGCAAGGCATCTTGGAGAGATTGAGGTCAGCCTGACTCAGGCACCCTTTCCCTGGCCCTGGGCAGCCTCTTTTCCCTTGAGAGGGGTAGAGGACTTTTATCTTTTGGGAGGGGCAGAACCCTGAAGAAACACAGACTGCCTGGCTTGGGCCATCAGAGGTCCTTTCCATACTCCTTTAAATTTCCCCTCTTTCTTGCCATCTGCTCTGGAGCCCCTCCCAGCTCCCTGCCCCACTCCCAGCAGATCTCAGGCAGCAGCACATCCAGAAGCCCAGGGACAGC